GTAACAGATCCTGATTTGATCCAGGTGACAGTTGCGTATACACCAGATGATAGTAATTAATCTGACGTTTGCCATGGTAGTAAATGTAGTTCCATTCCTGGTGTAAAGGTAATCACTGCTCCTTCTCTATTGCTTTATACATTACCACCAGCACACATCCTCAGATGTGTCCACACCGTGGTGGCCAGGCTGGGCAGGGGCTGGGTTCCCCTGCAAGTCCCTCCAGGAGGGTTTGCAGCTGAGCGAAGTTCCCAAGCAGCCGGGCTGCAAAAGGGGCTGGCAGAGGCCGAGTAAAGCCGGTCGGTGACACAGCACCACAGGAGCCCTTGGCAGCATAGATGCACCCTGTATGCACACTGGTTCGGTTTGCTCGCTTTCAGGCTCACCTCCCCTTCCCTCAGTTTCTGCTGTTGAAATCCCGGCTGTGCCCGTACCCCAGACTCGCTGTGCCCGGCTCTGCACTGCCCTATGGAGCTACGGGGTTGTGGCTGGGTCCCATGGGGTGGGAGGGCAGCAGCCGGCGGGGTCACAGAAACCAGAGCAGGGCATTGAATGGAGTCCATGGCGGCAGGGCTGTGTGGTTTTCTGGGGGCAGGGAGCCCTGGCTCCCACCCCTTGGGATGTCCCTGGCTGGCTGCAGGGAGCACAGCAACCCCAGCCCTGGGGTGTGCGGCAGGGAGGGCTACGGGGACCCAGCTGCAAATGGCAGTGCTGAAAGCCTGGGAGGAAGAGGAAGGAGGTTTTCCTGCTGTTCTCAGTTTCTGTTCTTTCTTCATAATTAAAATCTGATAGGTATCTAGGGAAGATCTTATCCTTGATATCATTCATCTTAAATCCTTCTCTTTTTCCTCTCCACTTGCTTTGAAAGGTTTTTTTATTCCCTTGCCTGTTTCCCAAAGTTTCTCCCTTTCCTTGTTCCCCTATCATTGACGGAAAAAAAAAAAGTCCCTAAACCAAAACCAACAACAACGAATTAAATAAATAACCCAAGACTTGCAGGAAAAGCTCGGCTATTTTTGAACTTCCTCTCCCTAACTTTATTTCTGTCTCCTTCAATGCCCAGTGTCTTCTGCCAGCCACCTCTGGGCGTGGGTGTGTTCACAGGCGAAGGCGGAGGGGTGCCGGGTGGGGGAACCCTCCCGGGGCACGCTAACCTCGCTGCCTCCTCGCCTGGTCAAGGTACTTCCCCCAGGGAGTGGGGAAAGGGAGCTTTTGCTGCTGTTAAAAAGCAAAGGAAGCACCTTAGCTAGCCAGGAAGTTCTCATAGACGCAGGGTACATAAGCAGTAGCTCAAATGCTCACCAAATCAGAGTACCCAAAAAACTATGCCATAAAAGCAGCCCTATATCACATCACCTTAATAGGTGTGCTGGATTCACAGGCTGATAACACAAAAATGAGCAACTATCATGTCAGCTGAGGAAATACTGTATTTCTCTGACTGTTTCTCAGTGCTTGCCTACATGGTTCTTCTTCCTGCTTTTGGCTTCTTTTTCCTGTAAAACCAGTTTTTTAGGCAGGGTTATCATGGCTCATTCAGTGAATGCCTCACTCCAATTTGCTTTCTGCGGCTCTTTCGTGTTTGGATCCTCTGTTAATAAACAGTCACTTCCTTTTACCTCCCTGTGGGACTATGAGAGAGCCTGCGGGCAAAGGGAATTGAAAGCATCATCGTTCCTCCGCCGTTGAGCTGGAAAGAAAAGCCTCCTGCAAAGCCCGAGGGACACAGTGCTTGTAGGAAACTTGGCTCAGCGGAGGCTGGGGATAGCAGAGGGATGAAATGATGCACAGAGGGACCAGGGGTACAGGTGGCTGCCGGAGGAGGGGTTGGCCAGGGGGGCGGCTTCTCCTCCAAAAGATGCTGGAGACATCTCATGCAACTTTCCCCCTTCGTGCGCAGAGAGGAAGAAATCTCTATCAGCTGCCAGAAGTGACTCACGTAGAAGGAAGAAGGTGGATCTAAAAAACAAACTACAAATCAGGACTAAAGGGTTGTACTTCCCTCCTCCTTTACTATGCAGGAAGAACATCAGAATTGAAAGCCAGCTTATTTTTCGTGAAACAAATTGCAAATAACTGGAGGGCTTCGAGTGCCTGAACTATTTATAATAAAACCAGTGGGAGGTTTAATTTGCTTATTTTCCTGGCACTTAATAAAATATCTGGCAAACAGAAGTGAGAAAACCACTTATGTTAAAAATTTTGTGTTTTCACTTCTTCAACAAGCCTTTAACTGAAAGCTCTGCTCACCCTGGGAGACCATCAAGGGAGACTGGAAATTTGGAGAGTTGAAAAATAAACACACAAAAAACCCCTCTGTGAACAAATCTTCCATGCCTTATTTTTTTGTCAACAAAAGGCAACACCCCCAGTTCTTCCAAGATAATTTCACATCACTTTAACAAATATTCAAAGAAAAAAAGAAAGGGAGAGGTCTTTAAAAAGTGCAAATCCTCTTCCACTTCAGTCAGCTGAGCTGGTGCCAGCGGAGCCATTCACTGGGGGTGTTTCTATGAGGAATCTCTGAAATATGCTGAAACTCTGCTTGGGGAAGGAGACATTTTCAATGAACATCTACATTCACAGAAGCCTACAAACCATTTCACAGTGTTTTTGAACAAGGCTGGAAAGAGGAGGATGCAGAGAATGCGTGTGGGGTGGTATATTCCTCTTGCATTTGCTCTCCAAGGCCTTCTGTAATATTTAAAAAATGCAGTTGAGGGTATCTGAGAGGTCCAGCCAGGCTGGTGGCCTGGCAGTGCGAGACCCAAAGGACAGGGGCTTGCTTCGCAGACAGAGGGTGGGCAGTGGGATGGCTGCCACCGCTCACTTGTCCTGCGGCAGCCCCAGATCCCCCTCGGGGCAGTGCAAGGGCAGCACTGAGGGAGCCGTGCCCACCTGAGCGCTTGCTGAAGCACACAGCTCAGCAAAAATGGGACCTGGGAGAAAAAGACATGCATTTCTTTATTTGCATATTTATATATATTTGAAATGTATGCAGGACTTTGAGACTTAGAAGCAAGAAGGAGGATAAGAAGGATTTTAAGTGCTATGTATCTACATGCACGTGAGTTGAGCACACCTTTTCCTTCCCGTATACTATACAATAAAGTCTATAAAGGATGAGGGACTTTGGATGAAAGGCGCTGAGGGCTATGGTATTGCTTACTCTGCACTGCAGCAAGCCGTAGGACCAGCTGTGTTGGTGCAGGTTAAATAGGAAAGCCAAAGTGGCAGGTGTAGGGCATTGGCCTAGGCTTGGTGCTGTGCTCAAACGGGTTCACTGCAGCTGGGTACTGAGCTCTGTGTCCTCCACAGCATAGTGCAGTCCCTGCAGATGGGACCCTTTGTGCCTGGTGAGTGTCTTTGTGGAGAAGGTAGGTGTGCTCTCAGGATGAGCTCTAGGCCTCCATCCTGCTCTGGAGTAGGGTATCCCTGCTGCTGGACACCGTTTTCCCCCATGTGTGGAGCCCACCTCCCACTTGCAGGCTCCTTCCCACAGCCTTGCATTGCTCTCTGCAGCTCCTGAGGCCCTGCCACCCACTGCCTTGAATACAAGGGCTTTGACCTTCATTTGATTTTCTGCAGGAAGCAGAAAATGGAGGAAACAGTTATAAGCTTGTGGTGCTGTTGATGGGGAGAGTTAATGTCTCCTGGGCACTGACTGGGTTGTGTGTGTATGTGCTGCAGTGCTGACAGGCACTAATTAATGAAGGTGCATGTAACTGAGAATGAGCAGTCTCAAAGATGGGCAGAGTATCCTACTGAGGGGGTGAAGGGAGACTGATTGTGGGTGTGGTTTTTTGGCTTGTTGTTGTTGTTGTTGATGTGCTGTGCTCCCTTAGGATGGTCTTTTCTGCTGGTCTTCCTTCAACCATTGGTTCCCACACTATTCAACATTTTTCTAATGCAAATGAGCTCCTTTTCAATGTCTTCCTTGAACCGCACAACACTTGGGAAGCTCAGAGAAATGTTGATGCCCTGAGGGCAGGGAATTTTCAAAACCCCTATGTAAGTAGCTGATGATCAAATCCTGGCAAGTTGTTTGTCTATGTCCTGGTTTCTCTCATTCACCTGACATTTACCCACACTCTCTATTGGTGTGGCAGCGGCTGAAAGAGGCATCTGGTCTGTGTCAGCTTTTATCTGCCTTTTTTCTTCCTACTGTGCCTCATTACGTATGCTCGCTAATTCAATTCAGATTTGAAAGGAAATATATGAGAAATTAACTGGCAAGACATCAGCAGCTGCAGGAACTCCATGGGAGAAGAAATCCATGAACTAATGGAGTTAGTGGCAATGCAAGACCTAGACATGACTGCAAATTACTTCAGCACATGTGAGTCTGAAGACAGAGAGAGGATCCAAGAAACTGGAAAGGAGTCAGGAGAAAAATATCTAACTGTCAAGGGGCATTTTCCTTGCTCCTCTCAAGGCTGTAGGTAGACTCAGAGCAGAGTAAGGCATCTTGCAGAGCAAATACCCGCAGGAAGACACAGCAGTTGCAATACTCAGTAATGCAATGGCAAAGCACATCAGACTCGCTCACGGTGGCACGGGAGCTGCCACCAAGACCCAGGGCATGGTGCCAGCAATGTCCCTGATGCCTGGGAGCGCCCAGAGCTGCGTTCTGGGTGCCTGCACTCCCCAGGACCACCTGCCTGTACCATGGAGCAGGCTGTGAGGAGCTTGCCATGGCCATCCTCCGCTTGGCTCCTGCGGGACGGTTGGGTCCAAGTAATTACATGCTTTGAGTAGCCTTACTACAGATATAGAGACAGCTCCAAAAGAGCACTCTGCCTAATTGCAGATTTGGATGGTTGATGTCGGGATTAAAACCACAGCCACTTCCCCTGGAAGATCTGTGAGGTGGCTGCGATGCCTCCTACAGTTTGTAGGAGTCCACCCCAGCCCTGGGGCACCAGCGTGTTGGGGGCACTGCACACGTCGTGTCGCAGCTGAGTGTTCCCACTGCCCTTCTTCTTTTCTTTTCTTTTTTTTTTCCTCTTTTTCTTTTTTTTTTTTTTTCCTCTTTTTCTTTTTTTTTTTTTTTCCTCTTTTTCTTTTTTTTTTTTTTTCCTCTTTTTCTTTTTTTTTTTTTTTCCTCTTTTTCTTTTTTTTTTTTTTTCCTCTTTTTCTTTTTTTTTTTTTTTCCTCTTTTTCTTTTTTTTTTTTTTTCCTCTTTTTCTTTTTTTTTTTTTTTCCTCTTTTTCTTTTTTTTTTTTTTTCCTCTTTTTCTTTTTTTTTTTTTTTCCTCTTTTTCTTTTTTTTTTTTTTTCCTCTTTTTCTTTTTTTTTTTTTTTCCTCTTTTTCTTTTTTTTTTTTTTTCCTCTTTTTCTTTTTTTTTTTTTTTCCTCTTTTTCTTTTTTTTTTTTTTTCCTCTTTTTCTTTTTTTTTTTTTTTCCTCTTTTTCTTTTTTTTTTTTTTTCCTCTTTTTCTTTTTTTTTTTTTTTCCTCTTTTTCTTTTTTTTTTTTTTTCCTCTTTTTCTTTTTTTTTTTTTTTCCTCTTTTTCTTTTTTTTTTTTTTTGTTTTTGAGACAAGTGACATAAACATTCCCTCGCACTGGGAAGGCACATCTGTTTTTTAGGACTAGATATCTCTTACCTAAATGCTTAGGGCGGTTTCCTAAGAGAGCTATGCTTACACAGACTTCTTGCTGGTAGCTGGTGGGGGACTCCCAGGCTGCCCTCAAGCCATAGGACAGACTGGGGACATCCTGCAGAGGGGTGCCAGGGACGGGGATGCCAGGCACAGCCCAAGTGACAACAGCCAGCCCACAGAAAGCCAGCAGCTTTATCAAGCTGCTCAAGGTTACAGCTCCTGTGCTACAGCTCTGCACAAAATGGGGAGAGTGCTTCAGCTGGGAGAAATGCTGCTCTCTTCCACTGAGGTTTGTGTTTGGTCAAAATGGAAAAACCAGGTACCTACAGGCTATCGGGATATGGTTACGCTGTCCAGAACCGCTGTACAAAGTGCTGGCAGCATGAGGTAAGGAGACTCTTTAAATAATTTGGCTGAAAAGTAGCCCTAGATCAGCAATTCTTACAGTAGCCCTGCACTGTAATGCCATTGAGAATTGTTCTTTTTATCTTGCTGATTATAAAAGCAACAGCAGGGTTTTTCTTAGGATGTTGTGTTTGGTTGTTTTTTTTTCCTAGAAGAAAAAAGACGGACCAGTGCTCTGCAGGCACCGTGGAGATAAGCGGGTGTCCTTGGCCACAAAATGAAATCTCTTCTGGTTTTTTTTCTGGTCCCTTTTTCTGGGGCACTTGCCCAGCTCAGCTGGCGAGGCTCAGCATGATCAACTCCAGTACCATGTGTTAGACTTGCTGGGAGGCAAGGCAGTGAGGGCTGAGCATGGGGAGACTTCTTTCCTCAGCAACTCTTCCTGATGTGGAAGCTATCATGGCAGGAGGATTACAGCTCCGGGAAACCTGCTGGCCTCCAGAGCTGGGGTGTAAAGCCACCAGCCCCACAGCCCACAGGGCATACCCGTGGTGTAAATGTGGTCCAGGATAGCCCTGCAGTTCCCTCCTCTCCCTGCAGATTCGTGGTGAATGCCTTGGGACGATGGCAAGCACAGAGGCAGCTGGGGCTGAGCCAGGGGCTGTTTTGCTGACCCAAGTGTCCCCAGCAATCCCAGACCACATCAGCTGCTCTGTCTTATACTGGGAACCAGAATAAAGGAAACTGCAGAGATTTTTAGACCTATATTGCCATCCTCACCCTTCCCCTCACCCCATGTACTGGATTTGCTCATGGTACAGTGAAGGCTGCCTGGGAACCCACTCACCAAAGCCCTGCAGTGGCTGGGTGCTGCAGCATCAGGGCTGGCTTAGGGCCGCTCAGGGACAATGTGCAACTCCAGAGCAACGGGCTGGCCCCAGGCTCCGGGAATGAGCCTTTGGAATGAGAAAGTCACAGGAGATCATGGGCTTTGGGCACCCACTGGGGAAGCAAAGATCATCAGGAATGACCTGGCTCAAGGGGCTGGACTCCTGCAGGCAGGAGTGAAAAAGGTTTGGTGACAGGAGCCGGATCAAGTTATTTCAGTGAGTTGCTCCATTTACGGGTTCGTTTTGCTTTATGAATGTCAAATGTGGGTTTGGGTTTTTTTCCTTTGCCCTGTTGCTGTTGGACATTGCCTCTGGGAATTACTTTGCTCAGACCTGTTGAGATGCCCAGCTGTAAGGAGAGCAAGCACAGAAAAGTCCTTATAATGAAATTTTCCAGGATACTAAAAGATTAATTTATTTTTGCTTGCAGAAAATGACCAAGCAGAAGCATGGTCTTATATAAGAGGAAAAAAGAGGCTAATAGGAATTGTCTGTAAATGCCAGGGAATAAGGTCTAGTGGAGAGTGTTCTTTTTCAGGTGCACTACTGCAAATCTTTAGTAGACAAAGCATAGGATAAAGGGGTTGCTAGGATTGCCAGCACTCTTCAGTTATCTACATCTATAAAAAAAGGTCAAATGCCTTTAATGTGATTAAAGAACAGAGGTCAGGCCTGGTTTACAGTGACTTTGGACTATCCAGAGAGAGACACTTGGACTCCAGCCATCAATAAGGGGAGACAGATAATGCAGCAGGAGCAAAAGAGAGGTGTCCAGGAGTCTTTAAAGAATAGAAAAAGGAATTTAAAACAGACTCTTTGGAATGTAACTTGAAAAACAGGCAAGTAAAAAAAAAAAAAGGAAACAGAAATGCAAATATTTCCAGGTTTCCAGTTCTTTAAAAATGATGATGGTTCAGGTGTGTGATGAGCAGCTACTTTCTCTGAAAAGCAGGCAAAATAATATATCAAAGAAAAAGGAGAATGTATGTACATATGTATGCACTTTAAAAGCCTACTGCTGAATTATAAATACCTTTGAATTGTAAAATATAGAGCCTGTCAGTGGTTCCTATCGAAGTTTGAACATGTAGTTTCACTTGTTCACAGCACAGCCTGTGTGCGCTATCACGTTAAAACCAGAGAGAAAGAAGTAAGACAGACATAGAAACATCCCGTAGGTTAAAAAAAAAAAAAAAACAACTGACTGACAGACAGTAATTATTAACGGGAATCTCAGCGTGGATAGACATGTGGAGCAAACTCCTTTAGGAATCGGCTTTTACCACATAGCTGTCAGTAGATGAATTGCAGGAGGTAAGGTTCTTCCTTCCCTTGGAAATGTGGGGAGGTTAAAAATGTGAAGGCTCATCTATAATAGCCAGCAGCTGCCCCGGTGCAGTATAGATGCTGCGACGGGACAAGAAGCAGTGTCTTGCAAGGCTCTCCCATGGGCAACACCGAACGGAGGACTGCTGGAAATACTTGAAGCTGTCGTGGGGTGGGGGGCACCTGACCCTGAGGAATGGCGTGTTAGGGACTGGCAAAGCACCCAAAAGCTGCAGGTTTGGAAGCAGGCAGCCCCCCCAGCGATTCCTCCATGCCATGTGCCCAGGCTACTGCCTGTAGTTGGAGAAAGGAGGCACCTGGATGGGCTGTCACAGCCGTGGACTCGGGGAGGTCTATGGGGCTGAAAGATGTGGGCTTTGTGAGCAGTTGGGGAGCCACAGGCAGGAGGGTAAGCGGGGCCGTGGGTGCCCTGATGCTGGCAGCGGGCAGGGCTGGTGGCAGCAGCAGGCTCTGCCCACCCTGGGCAGTGGGTCCTCACTCCAGGCCAGTGAGCCAGGACCAGCGAGGGACAAGCCTGGACACGGCCCCACCTGCTTTGGGGTCATACCAGGCCTGGGGACTCCCCAAAATGGAGCTGCTGGGCGACGGGTAGGGGTGCAGGTCTTGGGGAGGGCAGTGGGGCAGCGAGGCCTCCGGGTGCGCCATTGACCTTGACACAAGCATCAGGAGGGAGGATGTAAAGTTTTGGTCTATCATGTGAAACGTGTGTGAACAAATGAGATGTGTTGGATGGTTTTTCCCATCCACACACAGCTTGTTGGCAGCTGCCATTACTTTAGGGACCCGGGAAGGGTGTCGAGCTTGCTGAAGACCTCCTGCCATGGTGGAGGATGCAGGATGGGAGGTGGTTCCACAGGTCTACAAAGCTTCCACTTATGGTCACAGTGATAGCCCACTTGTGGCTGGTGTCCTGGCCCAGCCTCATCCCCAAGAAGGTGCCCAATGTCTGGGGCTGGGGCTGCCCCTGGGGCCTCCTGGCCTGCCCTGCTCCCTGGCTGGGGTGGTGGGACGGGTCCTGCCCGCCAGATCCTGCTCTGCCGCACCAGGGAGCCCCCGTGGCTCCCACCTCCCGGGCAGCCCCTGGCCCCAGTGACCTGGAGGGCCAGGGAGCCATGGACAAGACAGTCTCATGAACTGCAGGCAGCAAAGAAAAATTTCTGGCAGGAATTGTATGACTGAACCTCAGGTCATGACTGTTGTCCATAATTCAGGGAGGAAAACTGTGATGGGAGCTGGAGACAGGGTGCACAGTGCCGGAGGGAGGTACCGCATCTGCAGGCGCAGCCCGAGGAGCACGGAGGTCAGCCCAGGAAGGAAGAAGCTGTGAGCAGCTCAGCGAAGGTGGAGGAGGAAGCGGCTCTGACGGAAACAGTGACCTGGATTCTCAGATCACTGAATTGCAGGAAGACTTGGAGTCTGAGTGAGCAGCCAGCAAAAAAAGTAGAAACTCAAATTAGAGCCTGTTGAGAAACTGGAAGTCCTTCATGCAACAGCAAAGCTTTCTGGAAAGACAAAAAGGATGGCACTGTCTGAGAAAACAACTTTGAGGTCAAGCTGGACAACAGCAGAGGCTTTCCAAAGCACTGGGAAAGGGATCTGGTTGAGCCAGCAAAAAGTTTCTCAGCTGTACAACATACAGGAGCAGATCCAGGAGGCAAACCTCAACACGTGGCCAAGGCAGGCAAGGGACAGTTACACTGCCCTGGCAATGCAAGGGACAAAGCAATTGTCCTCTAACTCTGTGGACACTCCTCCTACATTACTAAGGGTGTGCAGCCTCAGTAAGTGGGAACTGGGTCATTCAGTAGTTATATATCATTATTACATGTAATCGTATCATATAGGCATCTTTTATTGACTTTCATTGCTGCTAAAAAGGAAGTTGTGTGAGATGAAGCCATTAATACAGGGAGATATATGGATTTCTAGCAGCAACATGTGGAAATCTGAATAGATCTCTGCAAAGGAAAAACCTTTCTGCTCTTGTGGGTGAATATGTATGTTCTTGATACCCAGAAAGGCCTTGAGACAAGATGTCTGAATGACTGGAAGGTCCACAGGAGAGGCTCATGCTGCAGCACACCTTCAGATCTCTACGTTTAACTGGTATAAACCTTCATGTGGATTCACTTGCTTCGACTAGAGAGATTTCTATCTGTTTAGCTTGTCTTCATGGATGTAAAGAGCAAGTTAAACTCAGTTAATATCGGGTGGATTCAAT